GAATTTCTTCCTTGTAGAACTGTTGGGTTTGTTAAAAAAATTTATATATCCCCGGCCCATAGATTTTTTGCCCTTTTTGTTTTTTTCCCCCCCCCCCCCCCAGCCCTGGACTCCTTCCTGCACTGACTGAGCACTGTCTCCTGTGCAGGCACAGGGTGTCAGAGGTACAAAGAGCAGTAATATAGAGATACTGTGGAGAAGCTGCCAACCCTTGTGCCCCACTGAAGCAAGGTTAGTGATAATAACAACAAAGGCAACTAACATGTCTGAGGGCTTACTTCATGTCAGGCATTGTTCTGAGTGCTTTATATACAGTAATTCCTTTAACCTTCACCTACTGTTATTAACTCCATTTTACAGATGAGGAAACTGAGGCACAGGGAGTTTTAGTTACTTGCCCACTATCACACAGTGAGTAGGTGGCAAAGGTAAGATCTGTACCCAGATACTGCCTCCATAATCTACACTCTTGAACATATGCTATGCTGGATATTCCTATTAGAGGGAGAAGAGACTCTGTCTGTGGATGAGAGGACTCTTAAAGGACATTCATTTAGTGAAACTCAGGAGTCCTCTTCCCTTTACAGATCGTCACACCAATCCCCTTTCACCATGGTCATGTTCTCTTTTCTCTGCCTAGGGCCCTCTAATTCTGTGAACACAGATCTGACTCCTGAGACCAGGCCCACCAAGACTGAGGTTGCAGGGCACCTAGCCCTCACTCAGCCCTTCAGGATGCTTGGAGCCCCCACCCTAAAAGCTGATCTTTGTGTTGGGAGACTGATTTTTCCCAGCTAGGTTTTGTCCCTCTCCAAGGTACCCTCTGGCTTTTCCAGCTTCCAGGCCTGCAGCCTCAGCATCGGGGGAGGCTCCCCTCCATACCCCATCCCAGCTGGTCTCAGCCTCTGATCAGGCCTGGTTGGGTCCTGATTCTCAACAGCAGTCACAGACAAGAATTCTCTGGACTGATCCTGATGCCCCACATGCCAGCCTAATCTGGGTTGCCCCGTGCTGATCCCCCATGACACTGGCCAAGGTACCCTGGGAACTGAAGAGGAACACAGAGGACACCACTCATGAGCCCATCCTCTCTACAGGCTCCCCTGTGTTTATACAACAGGCATTGTGGCTGTCCTCAGCATTGACTCACTGTGGCCAGAGAGCTGCCCCTCCCCATATCTTAGAAGCACCCTACAGTTCCTCTCTCTAGGCCCTCAGAAGTTTTTCTTTTTCCCCCTTGGGCAGGAGTTTTCCTTTGCCTAAAGACAGAAGTTGAAGAAATTCTGGAATGACCCCGTTCTGTGGAGATCATCCCTGACTTCCTTTAACCCATCCAGGTAGAATGAGGCAAGATTGAATATGTGTATGTATGGGGAGGAGGGGTCTAGGCCTATGTTTTGGGGGGTGCCTCATTTTTTTACTGGAATTTAACCATTTCCCCACTAAATACACTGAATGGCTTCTTCCAAATGACCTTTGAATTTTTTAAAATAGTCATTGTAAGGGCCAGCCCGTGGCTCACTCAGGAGAGAGTGGTGCTGAGAACACCAAGGCCATGGGTTTAGATCCTATATAGGGATGGCCGGTTGGCTCACTTTGGTGAGCGTGGTGCTGACAACACCAAGCCAAGGGTTAAGATCCCCTCACCGGTCATTTTAAAAAAAAAAAAAAGAAAGTCACTGTAGCTGAGCAGATATTATTTCCAAAGTGCCAGCACCATGGAGCAAAAACCATTTGTGGACTCTTTTTAGGGGTCTGCCTTCCAAGCTTGCAGGCCTGTCTTTTGAAAATCTCTGTCTTTTGAAAAT